AAAATTTATGACAACAAAGAAAAAGAAATGATAATACTAAAATTAATTTGAGATTGGCAAATCCCGGTTGAGCCCCCAAAATGTAACAAATTTGCTTCCTTTCTTGTTACTCAATAAAAAAAAAATAACAAAAAGAATGTATTATATTTAATTTACAAAATTTTATTTCTCTGATAATTTGAATAAGAAAGTTTTCAACAATATTTTTCAAAAGTATAATTTATATTCAAGTCAATTAGCAATCATATTCATTCACTCATACAAAACACTCTATTCAAATAACATAAACAATATTGATGAGCTCATCACGTGAACAAATTGTAAATAATAGAAAAACATTAAAATTAGCGATTCTCAAAAATTATAACTTTTCCAATATTCCATTAAGATATTGTGATTTTATTTTGTTTTTATCTAAAATTAATAAAACAAAATGCAATCGATCAAAAAATAAAAAAATTAAATTGTCTCATATCCTCTCACAATTATATATTTTTCTTTTTGTTAGTTGACGTAATAACCTTCAATTATCCATATATGTATATATGTATATTGATGTGGATTCTAAGCACCAAATTCATATATATATATCATAAAAAAAAATTATTTCCGCATATCGCCAAAAAATCACTTCAACTTATTATGATACTCACAATAAAATTATGCAAAAATATGCTTTACATACACATATAACCTTGGAGGGGATTAGGCACGAAGAATTTCCATTTATCGGTTTTGTTCTCGCTGCCCTGGGGACTGGTTATAATGATGTTTTTCCTTACACAGAAGTTGTGACATCAATAATTGAAGCGATATTTCCTGGAGACGAATATGTTCCAAAACAGCAGATACAATGATTTAGAGTAAAATTAACGACCCGCTGTATGAACAGATATTTCGAAAAAAATTTACAATACAATTCAATTAATACATATATAAACACAAATTAATATAATGCATTTTGTTACCTTATAATTCACGGGTCGACACTTATCATACGATACACAAAACTTTGTTTTATAAAAACTTTCTTTCAAAAATTAATTTAGTCACCGAATTACATTCATTACGGGACACGTCTTGATATTTATACAGTCATTAAGAGAATGCTAGTCGTACAACGTCGAATTTATTAATCATCGAAATATTCCCCACTCACCATCCATACTTCTAATACAGAATATTTTGTATTGGTCATGACTCATAGCCTTACAAATGATTTTGAATTAATATATTCTGCATTTCTTACATGCTACTTAACTTCTTGATCGAATTCCATATTTTCTTGAATCAAGAATATCTGCGTTCTCTCACAAAATAAATGTTTTCTTCATTTAAATCTTGAATTACTTGAACGAATGTTACAAAAAATTGAATGAATCAAATAAAATAATTCAATTATCTATATATATTCTTAGAACAAAAAAATATTTTATTCATTTAATACATTTTATATTTCGTACAAGTCGATTAACTTCTTGGTCGAATTCCATATTTTCTTGGATCAAGAATATCTGTTCTTCTCACAAAATAAATGTTTTCTTCATTTAAATCTTGAATTACTTGAACGAATGTTACAAAAAATTGAATGAATCAAATAAAATAATTCAATTATCTATATATATTCTTAGAACAAGAAAATATTTTATTCATTTAATACATTTTATATTTCGTACAAGTCGATTAACTTCTTGGTCGAATTCCATATTTTCTTGGATCAAGAATATCTGTTCTTCTCACAAAATAAATGTTTTCTTCATTTAAATCTTGAATTACTTGAACGAACGTTACAAAAAATTGAATGAATCAAATAAAATAATTCAATTAACTATATATATATTCTTAGAACAAGAAAATATTTTATTCATTTAATACATTTCATACTTCGTATAAGAAGACTAACTTCTTGGTCGAATTCCATATTTTCTTGGATCAAGAATATATGTTCTTCTCCCAAATATCCTATGTCAAGAAAATCGTTTTCTTGAATCAATACTTTAATAGTCTTGGCCGTATTCAATCCCACGATTTGCTTCAACCAAGAAAAATTTTCTTGGTTCAATACTTTTTTTTTTCAGTGTAATATAATAATGTATTTTTACTATTGAAATAAATTATAAATTATACTTAATACAAATTAACTTTTATTTTTGAAATATTGACTCAGTTTTTTTATTTACTATTTTTAAAAAACTTGAAAACCAAAAAGCTTTAGTGTTCGGGGTTACCCCATTCTCCCCTAACAAACAATTTCAACAATTTATATTTTTTATTTATGAATATTAAACTTATTAATTAAATTTCTGTGGCATTAAAATTCAAGATATTTAACTTAATAATAATTTTTTTTCAATTTTGAAACAATCCTTATTAATAAAATCATCAGACTTTTGTCTGTACATTGCATAGAATTTAAAATTTCTATTATATTCCTTCTTTTTACACTCTAAGAAATCCGAAAATACTATTAAGAAAATTATGTGTGTATATGTGTGTGTGTATGTATGTATGTATGTCCGCAAATTTTCGACCGCGCATCACGGAAAAATGGTTTGATCGTTTCAAGTGAAACTTGGCAGTCTTTTAGGCATTAGCCTAACTTAAAATCCTAGCCATAGTAGATTAAAAAATATTAATATGGACGGAAGTTATGCCATTTTTTCAAAAATTCGAAAATTGGTACAGAGTTAATTTTAATGTTTCTTATTAAGATTCAGTCGTCAGAATAGTAAAATTTTGAATATCAAATAAAAAATGTTAGATTTAAATATTGAAAGATTAAAGAATTAAAAGTTTAAAAATTGAAATTTTTTGTAATGAATTTTTATAAGGTTGTATTTCTTAGGTCAACAATAAAAATTTGTTGTTAAAATCATAAGTTTACTTTCCTAAAAGAATTCTATTAGGTCAGAATATTAACAATATCCATATAATTAATATAATGAGACTTTTGTCAGTATATTGCACAGAATTCAAAATTGCTATTATATTATATTAATTAATGATCAAAAAATGAATAACTCAAATTCTATTCTGATGACTAAATTTTAATAAAAAACACTAAAATTAACCCTGTATCAAATTTGAGTAAAATTGAGGACAATAATTATTTCAAAACATTAATTTTGAATTTTCAAAATTTTGAAAATATGGCATAATGTTCGTTCACATTAATAACTTTTACTTTACTATAGCTACACTGAAAAAAAGTTATATGGTTTAAGTAATTATAATTACATATTTGAAAAATAATATCTTATTTAAAAAGTTTTTATTTCGATCTAATAATTAGGTATCTTTTGGACAGTATAAGAAAATTTTTAATACAGTAATTGTTTTAACGTTTGACATATTTCTTCGAATTGTTAAAATTTTGATCTTAAAAAGTATCCCAAAAGGTGGGATTTAAGAATTACTAAAAAAATGTGTTGAACAAATCATTATCTTTGTCTGAAGACAATAAATATTTTTCTGTTGATTTTGCTTTCATTTCTAAAAACTTTCGGAAGTTGGCTTCCGAAATATTTCATGACGGAAAAATTAAAATTTTAATTAAGAGGTTCACAAACCTATATTAAAGACAATGTTTAAATAAATGTTTATTATTTTTAAAAAATACTATTAGGCAGGCGACACCAGATTTTGAGCACGAAAGCTAGTAATTAATAAGTGTAAATTTTTTGTAGTGAAATTTTCTTCAAAACGTGAGCGGAAATACACTTCGTGTATATAAATATAATGAAATATACGTCCGTGAGTATCAGGACGCCCCTTTTTTCATGAGTGGAAAAATGCTTAAAACGTAGAAAATAAGAATGACAAAAATTTGTCGTATTTTTTTCCTGAAAGCTAATGAAATTATAAAGAGACTGACACCTGATCGAAGAATTTTCGTTGACTATTCTGTCAGAAACAGAAAAAATACTGGATTTTGCATGCTTTTCGTAATTTTTTGATTTCTCGAAAACTAATTAACTTTTTTTAGCGTTCTTGGTCTTGTTTTAATCTCTATTCACAATACCAGTTAATAATTTAGATTCTACATTAAATAGAGATTGAAACAAGACCAAGAACGCTAAAAAAAGTTAATTAGTTTTCGAGAAATTAAAAAATTACGAAAAGCATGCAAAATCCAGTATTTTTTCTGTTTCTGACAGAATAGTCAACGAAAATTCTTCGATCAGGTGTCAGTCTTTTTATAATTTCATTAGCTTTCAGAAAAAAATACGACAAATTTTTGTCAGTCTTATTATTTTCTACGTTTTAAGCATTTTTCCACTCATGAAAAAAGGGGCGTTCTGATACTCACGGACGGTAGTGTAGTACGTTTATCGAGTTTTTCTTTTAATTAGAAGAAATGGAAAGAAAACAATTATTGGAATCAACTAGCAATTGATCCTAAATGGCAGGAAGAAGTGAATGATCTTCTTGAGTGGTCCAGCTGTCAATCTGATGGAGTCATCGTTCGGTGAGTGGTTTCTTATTTAACCTTTTCTCTATTATTATATTAACTATTATTATAACATAATTAATCGGACAGTCCGAAACAAAATTTGAACAAATTAATTCGATTTTCTCTGAAAACTCTTTTTGTCGTTTGGATACAAAGGTGACTTTGGTTTTTCTTAATTTTTCTTAATTCTTTAATTAAAAATAAATTTTACAAGCTTACAAACGTAGAAATATAAACTCTGAACTGTATTGCTTGAAAGAGATTGGTCAATTTTTGATACATAAACAGGAACGTCCCTAAGTGTAGCAAATGTAGACGAGGTAAAAGCTAAAAGCTAAGAAGAATGCTAAAATTTGTCGGAAATTTTAATATAAAATTATTATTAAACATTTTTTTAAATAACATGATTTGTGGAAATCGTTTCATATTAAAGAGAGTAATTTTAGAAATAGGAGAAAGAGTAAAATTTCATCGTTCAGGGCCCCAAGTGACATATATCATTCCCGCACGTGTACTTAATCCGTATTTAATATTGATAAGGTTGGCAATACTGTTTGTATATCACGTGCAATGTTTACATAAATACAAAAAACACAAACTGAATTATCACAAACGTATATATATTAGTTTTTGTAGTGTTAAACGTCAGAAATCACGTTCTCTCATAGGCAGAATATTTACAATATTCTCCTGTGAATCGTTTCCAATTGGAAGGAAATTTATGAAATTTATCAACATAACCTTACTCAAAAGAATCGACAAGTGTTTTTGTTGCTAGCGGTTGTCAAGGCTAAATTAAACTGACCCAACCCATAAAATATTGTTTGCAGTCAAGCTAATTGACTATTCTTGATTGCCTAATGAGTTTACAAAAAAGTCACTAAAGGTTGAGAGATATTTTTGTTCCATTGGCCAATAAGAAATGAAATTCTAATGTTAACAACAAAGTTTGATATCAAGCAAGATATTTACGTTTTGTTTACATTCGTAATTATTTTACATTCCTGCCATTGTTGTGTTTCGGAAAATTATTGTGATCCACTTAAAAAGGCGATAAAATCAGTAAAGAATTGTGACACTTTTTGCACTTTTTCTATGCTAAGTGGAGTGACAAAAATGATTCATCATAAGTGTATAAAGGGACTTTATCCTTCGAGTAATATTCTTAGATTTGAAATTCCCGAGGATAAAGTGCCCTGGAGTGTGGAATTTGAAGAATATCAACCAGTGGAATATAATTCACCAGTATTGATAGGAAAACCTTGGGCAGATCCGGATACAAATGATTCTTCGTTCGAACCAAAATGGAATTTGCAAGACGGTAAGTGACAAAGTTCATGTTTTTTCTTATGCTCTGTTTACGTCACTTTACGTCTTTCTTATTGCTTATCTTTCGAGAATAATAAAATCAAGTAAAACTAAAATAAAATATTTCTTCAACAGGCAAAGTGAATCGAAAGAGTTACGTGAAAGATTACGAAATAACAGTGGACGGAGTACCTCAGAATCCAATTGGAAGAACTGGTATAATTGGTCGAGGACTTTTGGGTCGTTGGGGACCGAATCATGCGGCCGATCCAATTGTCACCCGTTGGAAGCGAAATGGCACGGGCGCTTTGGAAATTGACAGAAAATCGGAGAAACCAATTCTCCAATTTGTCGCTATAGAGAGAAAGGATTCGAAAGAATGGGCAATTCCTGGAGGAATGGTTGATCAGGGTGAAAAAATATCGCAAACTTTAAAGCGTGAATTTATGGAGGAAGCACTCGATGCTCTCGATAAGACACCAGAGGAACGGGAGGAATTGGAGAGTGCTTTGAAAAAATTCTTTGATCGTGATGATAAAATTTATCAGGGCTACGTGGATGATCCACGAAATACCGACAATGCTTGGATGGAGACAATGGCTTTGAATTTTCACGACGAAGACGGCAGTACAGTTGGTGAAATAAATTTAAAAGCCGGTGACGATGCCGGCAATGTGCGATGGATGGACGTCGACAGAAAAATGATCCTCTACGCAAATCATTCCGATTTTATTAAACAAACAGTGCACAAAAGAAACGCTCATTGGTAACAGAAGAGTACAAACAAAAATTGCCTTTACCAAAATATTTTTATACTATCTATCTAAAAAAATATTTTTCGATTTTCCTTTCTCACGGAGGAAGTGTTTTTTAAATGAAAATATTGTTCCTTTGCTTCATCATCGAGCAAGTATTTTGTTTTTTCCTAAAAAATACTTGTACCATTAGGAAGCAAAACTTTTTTGTTTCAAAAGTACTTGATTTTTTAAACAAAACAGATTTGTTCCCTAACAGTGCAAGTATTTTTTAAGCAAAAAAGTTTTGCTTCCAAAAAAAGCAAGTATTTTCGAAACAAAACTATTTTGCTTCCTAATAGAGGAAGTATTCTTCAAAAAGAAATGTTCCTCTTGCTTGTATTTTTTAAATAATAGTAATGCAAATTATTTAAAAAAGAACTTATCAATAAGGAAACATTTGTTTTAATTAAAAAAATTACGATATCTTTATTATTGTATTCACGGATATTTTACAGAATCGGATTAAAGATTAACAAACGAAATTTAAATCACAGGTAACATTTTTGAATAAGATTTCGATAAACAGAGCTATTTTTATAATATAAAAATTTTGTATAAAAAATTTTAGAATTTAAAAATACAATTTATACTTCTAAAAACGAAAGTCTCGAATATTATCTAAAAATAAGTTTATAAATTTTTTAAATTCTTGAAGACAATCTTAGTCCTTAGAGTCCTATACTGCTTTTCAAATTGAAATATACATTGTTGTACATATATTTTAAACAAAGAAAAAAAATGTAAGAGGCTAATTGTAATTTACAATTTTAAAGAAATATAAAAGTTACAAACAAATAATATCGAGTTATTAAAATTTACATGTCACTTATTTTAATTCAAGTGATGAATTATAGAGTTTATTATAATGATTATAATACTTAAATTGTTATAATTATTATAATATTAGAATTATTGTAATTATTATAATAAATATAAGAATTAATCGAGATCTTGAAAAGCAGTAATTACTTTGATTTTAAGTACTTCAGTCAGAAACGAGTACGAGCTACGAGTTTTTTCTGTCGATGACTATTGAATTACAATCGTGATTTTTTCAGTCTTTTACAATTATTATAATTTCAAAAGACTATTTTTTTATAATCGTGTCATTTATCTACTGTAATTAGTCACTTTGTTGTTATTATTGGGACGCATGATTATTCCCCAAATGTCATTTTTCCGAAATGTCATTTTACCGAACTGCACTTTTGCGAATAGTCATTTTTGCGAGAAGCCAATTTTGCGAAATGTCACTTTTGCGAATTGTCATTTTTGCGAATTGTCATTTTTGCGAATCGCCATTTTTACGAATAGTCAATTTTCCGAAAAGTTATTTTTGCGAATCGTCATTTTTACGATTTGTCAATTTTTCGAAAACTCATTTTTGCGAATTGTCATTTTTACGAAAAGACATTTTTGTGAAATGTCATTTCTGCGAAAAGCCATTTTTGCGAAAAGTCATTTTTACGAATTGACATTTTTGCGAATGGTCATTTTAAAGAAATGACATTTTTGCGAATTGTCACTTTTGCGAATTGCCATTTTTACGAATTGTCATTTTTGCGAATAGTCATTTTTGCGAAAAGTCATTTTTACGAATTGTCATTTTTGCGAATTGTCATTTTTGCGAAAAGCTTTTTTTGCGAATTGTCATTTTTGCAAATCGACATTTTTACGAATTGTCAATTTTCCGAAAAGTCAGTTTTGCGAATCGCCATTTTTACGAATTGTCAATTTTCCGAAAAGTCATTTTTGCGAATTGTCATTTTTGCGAAAAATACAATAGTGAATTTATAGACCTACAAGTTTTCTATTGTATTTTTCGCAAAAATGACAATTCGCAAAAATGACGTTTCGGAAATTTGACAATTCGTAAATATGTCGGTTCGCAAAAATTACTTTTCGGAAAATTGACAATTCGTAAAAATGGCGATTCGCAAAAATGACAATTCGTAAAAATAACTTTTCGCAAAAATGACTTTTCGCAAAAATGACAATTCGTAAAAATGGCAATTCGTAAAAATGGCGATTCGCAAAAGTGACAATTCGCAAAAATGACATTTCTCAAAAATGACAATTCGCAAATATGTCAATTCGAAAATATGATTTTTCGCAAAAATGGAAATTCGTAAAAATGGTGATTCGCAAAAGTGACAATTCGCAAAAATGACATTTCTCAAAAATGACAATTCGCAAAAATGACTTTTCGAAAAAATTACAATTCGTAAAAATGGCGATTCGCAAAAATAACTTTTCGGAAAATTGACAATTCGTAAAAATGGCGATTCGCAAAAATGACAATTCGCAAAAATAGCTTTTCGAAAAAATGACAATTCGCAAAAGTGGCATTTCGCAAAATTGGCTTTTCGCAAAAATGACTATTCGCAAAAGTGCAGTTCGGTAAAATGACATTTCGGAAAAATGACATTTGGGGAATAATCATGCGCCCCGTTATTATTACGCATACTTTAAATATGGCAACTTTAGACGCATGCAGTATCCTGCCTACTAAAATATATGTCGTAGGCGAAAAGAAAAATCCGTCGTTTAGCTTAATTCCTAGGCTTTAAGCTAAACGCGGGCAAATAGGAAAATGATCAAGTAAATGACAATTACTCTTTTAATCGCCTGAATTCTTTATAGTCATTTAGCTTGATGCCTAGGCGTTAAGCTAAACGCCCAAAGAGTGCCAGGCTAATAGAAAAAAATTCAAATTATAGACAAAAATATTTTTCACAAAATTGCAATAATTTATTGTAATTAATTCAAGTCAATTGCAAAGGAAAAAAATTACATTTTATTTATTGCAGCAAGTTAAGCTTTGGTGGCATCGCAAGCTGCAAATTATTTTTAATTTAAAGCTTCTAACAATTTTGGAAAAAATTCAACTAAGAATATTTAAAAACAAAGATTCATAAACAAAAATTTAGAAACGCTTTTTAACTCAAAATACCTGCAATATATTATTAATTGAAATTCCATTTCAATGTTTATTATTCATCAAACGCTCTTTGGGCGTTTAGCTTAACGCCTAGGCATCAAGCTAAATGCCTAAAGAATTCAGACGATTAAAAGAATAATTGTCATTTGCTTGAACATTTTCCTATTTGCCCGCGTTTAGCTTAAAGCCTAGGAATTAAGCTAAACGACGGATTTTTCTATTCGCCTACGACATATGCATATAATTTAAAAAAGAAAAGAAAACAAAATTAACAAGAATTGACAATTGGTTGCAATGGTGTTTCATTAATTCCGAGGATATTTAAAAATGCCTCTGTCGAATTTTCACTTATTGTCTCTTCATTGGTAAAATAGGAATCGGTTTTTTTATTTTTTGAAATAAATACGTCTTCGTATTTCGCCATGTGACTAATAATAGTATTCTTAAGGATATTCTTCATAGAAGATTTCTGTTTAATGAGTATTGACTCATTTTTTCTCGCTGTTAATTCAATATTATATTGTTCATCAATCTTGAGTGCTTCTTTGGCTTTCTCCTGACCTAAATCAGCCGCACGCTTAAATAATGTTCGCGCTTTATCAATGTCAACGGAAAAATTACCTCTTCCCTGTGCGTGGAAAATTGCGAGATTATACATTGCTCCCGCGTGTCCCATTTCTGCAGCTTTATTGTAATATCTCGCTGCCTAAAAATTAAAAATTATTTTATTTCATGTTCATAGTTACAGTTCTGGAAAGAATTATTTTGTAAATTTCGTTTCATTCTGTAGAATTATGAATTATTATATTAATTACTAATTTAATAATTATTATTAATTATTATCTTCTGTATTAATAATCGTTACATTCCGGTAATCTGTTTTTTTAATTATTTTTCTTTTTAAACGTTTTCAATTTTAAAAATAATGTATTGAAAATAATTGAATTCTTGTGAAATACTTATCAAAAAATTTAAAAATAATTCAATTCTTTCAAAGAATTTTTTTAAAATTTTTGAAAATATTTGAAAAGAATTTATTTGAATTTTTTGAAAATAGTGGAGTCTTTTAATCATTCATTTTTGTAATGAATGATTTCTTTACATTTCTGGAAAAAAATTAGTTTCTTTTAATAATTTTTAATTGAAAATTTTGCAAATAATTTAAATTCACAAAGAATTTTATCAACACTTTTCAGAATAATTGAATGTTTAAGAAAAATTTTATTACAATATTTAAAAATTATTTTTAAATTTGTATGTAAAATAATTGAATTCCTGAGAAGAATTTTACAATTTTTAAAAATAATTGAATTCTTACAAAGAATTTTATCAAAATTTTAGGAAATAATTGAATTCATTGAAAAAATTTTCTTTTAAATAATTGAATCCTTTCGTGAAACATTATTGAAATTGTTTTGAAAATTATTGAATTCCTGAGAAGAATTTTACTATTTTTAAAAATAATTGAATTCTTCCAAAGATTGTTAATTATTTATGAGAATAATTGAATTCTTGAGAAAAAATTTTGAAAATAATAATAAACAAGAATATTTAATTGTGTACTGAATTTTTTAAATGTTGAATTTGAAAATCAAAAATTGATGTCTATATTTGAAAAAATAACATTTTTTAATTTGCAAAATAATTAATATAATAATTATTATTAATTATTATAATTATTCTGTAGAATTTTGTTTAATTGAGGGCCTGGAACGGATAACTGCCTGCAACGCATGGTTGAAAGGGACTATACCAGTCAGACATCAGTGAGAGGCCTAGAGGCGCTCAATATTGTCTGACTGGTTATCCGTTCCAGGCCCTCAATTTTTCTAGAGATCCTTTTTCTTACCTTAATGTCGTCGACTTTTGTGCCGAATCCTAATTCGTGACACAAAGCCAAATTAAAGGTGCTCGCTGGCGAAAATAATTTCGCTCCAGTTGAAAAATTATTCAAGGCATCTTCGTAACGCTTATCATTTAGGGCTGTTATTCCTAAACGTAATTCATATTCTCCCAAAGCGAGTTTGTGAGCGTGAGCAAATTTACCTTCCGCTTCTTTTAAAGCCTATTTTTGAAGCAATATAATTTTAGCACTTTTTTAAAAAAATACTTAAATTACAAAAGGTTTCGTTTAATTTAAATATAAATATGAATTATCTTTCTAATTATAAATATTTCCGAAATATAAATGTAGAAAATTGATTTCTGTTACTTGTGAATTCGTGAATTCGTAAATTTGTAAGTTTTAAATAGAGTAAAAGGAAAAGAAAAAATAATTTTTTTTTGGTGATAACATTATTATTATTTACAATTCTTTTTTTAAAATTATAATTAAAAAAAGGGAAGAGTGAAATGTGAAATTAATATGCAAGCAAGTGTCTGCACATTAACATGCTCACCTCTTCAGCAGTGAGCGGTCCATGAGGTTTCGATGGGGTCCATTCTGTTTCTGTGGCGACGTCAACTTTTTTGACATCATCCGAAACAGCGTGAACGACGGGAAAAATAAATTGTGGTTTCAAACATAACACTTGAGCCAGCAAGCGCTTGAGATGCACTTCCGGTAAATGCAAAACTCTCTTCTGACAATTTGCCGTTATCTCGTGACTTTGATCCTTTTCAAAGAATCTCCTTCGCAAACACAAAGATTGACAGACGACCCAACCTACCGCCAGGACTCCAGTCTGTAGAAAAGATGAAAATTATTTTCCCACATTAAAATAGTGCTTAAATTTTTATTTTTACGTAATTATTATATAATATTTGAATTCCTTTCAGTATTCTTCAAATATATAATTAGATTCTTATTAACTATATTGGTATTACGAAATATTTCGCAATGCTTTTTTATACCTATGTAATTTTTAGTTCGTCAGTAATTTATTAACAAAAAAAATTGTCAAATTCGGGAATTTTTTATAGAAATTGGTGAACAAAACAAGTTATAAATTCTAAACATATTGTTGTGTGAAAATAATTTACCCAACCGACAGCTTCGGTCCAATTGTGCTTTGCATCCCATTTGGAATCTTCTTTTTTACCCTTTGCTCCAGTTGATTTGGTTGAATCACAAAATCCATTATTAAATGTGGAAAATGTTGGTGTTAATACTTTTTGATTAGAAACTAAATTTGTATTAATTTCACACTTGACGGAACTTTCTTGTGAATTTTGTGAATAAATATTTGTTCGACGATTTGCGCGACGTTCTAATGTTTCACGAATTCCCCGTGTCACGAATTTCCACATTATCATTCAGGTGTTAGAGTGAGAAACGGGTGCGAATATTTTCAAAATTGGGGTAAATTTTGTTGTCATCCGAATTTCTTTGTTTATTAATTCTATTTTTTTAGAAACCAAAATTGAACACAAAAACTAATTCCTGTTATGGAAATTGGAAGGTTAGGTTGGATTAGGTTAGGTTGCTTTGAGAGTTGATAAGGCTATTCAAGTTGGGTGGGGGAAAATTCAAGATGGATGCTAACTGGTGCACCAACATTGTATAGAAAGTGTATGGGATAGAGTCTATTTTTTTAAATATCTCGCTTAAGGACGCTGCACGGTGGGAAATATTTAAAAGTACGCATAGGCGTAGCGAGCGATTTCTCCTCAACTTCCACTCTTTTCCCCTCTTTTCGTCCCTCTTGGTGAAATTTTTTGACTTTGATAATTAATTAAAAAAAATCCAGATTGAAAATGAAAAAAAGGGCGATTTAGGGAAAAATAATATTTAATAGAGAATATTCAACAAGTTTTCTTATGACGATTAGATGTTTCTATGGGCGTGAATATCAATCCGCGTTTTCCAAAACATAGCAAACTGACAGCTCAATATGGGAGGTTAGCCATGGCCGACTATATCAGGTTGCATCGTTTGCGTAGTACAGTAGAAATGAACGTAAGGAACAAAAATATTAAATGTCAATTATACTCTCATTGTTTACTATTACATTTATTATTTGTTTATTTATTTATTATTGTTATTATATCTATTATTATTTATTATTTTACTTACTTTTTTAAAATATTATTATGGAAAAGTATTAAAACAATAAAGGAAAATTTTTTATGAAAAAATTATTAAACAAATAAAATTTCTAAACAAAAAAAAAGTAAATAATAAAAAATTATGAAATGTATAATTTTAAAAATTTTTAATGGTTATTTTTATTATTGATATTTTTAAGTATATGAAAAATCTAATTTAAATATTCCACAAAATTAGTTTTAAAGTAATTTTTTATAAGGAATTCAACGGTCATAAAATAAAAGCGGACAGAAAATATTTTGACCCTTTTTCAATTATCATTTTTCTTAAAAATTGGTGGATTTCGAAACACACGCGTAATTTGGTAGAAAATATGTTTTTAAATCCATGAAAAGAATTCCAAATGAAATCGATGATTTTCATAATTACCTATAGAAGTATTGTTTTGAAAAAAATCTTTGTTTTTAAACTGAAAATTCTAAAAATAACATTGTTATTCAATTTTTCTATATGGAAAATTATTTGTTTACTTATTTAGTTTCTGATCAAAATTTAATCTTAATTTTTCTGTATTTCTATTTTTCATCAATAAAAATTATGATATGAAATTATTTAGAAAAATAAATGTCAAAAAATGCCCTTTTTTAATAAAAAAAAAAGCTGCAATGTATTGAAAAAAGACGAAAATTTAATAATCTACTTCAAAAATTGTTAGAAAAAAATTGCAAACATCAACGTCGTTTTCTCAAGACAAAAATGGTTTTCATAATTGGAAATAAATTCTGAGTACCTCCGTGTTTCAGAAAAAGGACTTTTTTTCATAAAAAAAAAAGACATGGAGTGGAAAGGTCGAATGTATCGAAAAGTATCGAAGTAAAGAATGGGCAATGAGAATGTAAAATCTTAATAGAAGGGTGTTTTTAAAATTGTTTGTACATGTGAAGGTGGCGCTGCAGTCGTATGTTATTTAAAAAGAGCGCGAATATATAAATTTTATTTTTGTTAATAGAAAGTACTCATAATAAATCTTATTTTGCATTGTCAAAAAAAACGTCAACATTTCAAATATAAATAAGCAAATTATTAACTGAAAATATTTGAATATTATTATTAATAAAATAATGGACTTGGATAATGGACATATAAAAACTAGCACCGTAGACGGCCGCTTGCGGCCGTCGGAGGAGCTAGTTCATAAAAAAGATCCAATTTTATGACAAAAATTATGTTTAATAATATTTTCATAAAAAATTTACATTACTTTGTTTTATACTTTTCCATTATAATATTTCTAAAAAGTAAGAATAATAATAAATAATAATAGATAAATAAACAAATAAATATAATTATTTATATAATATTAAATAATAAAAGTAATGACTTATTATTTTTGTTGATCATCTACGTCCCTACATTACCATAGCGTAAATACTTTCAACACAAAAATGGTGCAACCTGTTATGGTCGGCAAAGGCCTACATCGAGCTGTTGCTTTGTTTTGTAAAACGCGGATTCATATTTACGCTCCTAGAAACATCTAATCGTCATAAGTAAGTTTGAATTATATTCTCTATTAAATATTATTTTTCCTTAAATCGCCCTTTTTTTCATTTTCTGTCTGAATTTTTCAAAATTAATTATCAAAGTCGAAAACTTCCCCTCTTTTGGTGTAATTTTTTACTTTGATAATTAATTTTTAAAAATTCAGACAGAAAATGAAAAAAAGGGCGATTTAGGGAAAAATAATATTTAATAGAGAATATAAAACAAATTTTCTTATGACGATTAGATGTTTCTATGGGCGTAAATATCAATCCGCGTTTTACGAAACATATCAAACTGATAGCTCTATATGAGAAGTTGGACATGGCCGACCATAACAGGTTGCTCCGTTTGCGTGGTACAGTAGGAATGAACGTGAGGAACAAAAATATTAAATGTCAATTACTCTTATTGTTTACTATTATATTTATTATTTGTTTATTTATTTATTATTGTTATTATATCTATTATTATTTATTATTATACTTACTTTTTAAAAATATTATTATGGAAAATTATTAAAACAATAAAGGGAAATTTTTTATGAAAAAATTATTAAACAAATAAAATTACTAAACAAAAAAGTAAATAATAAAAAATTATGAAATGTATAATTTTTTAAATTATATTAGTTATACAAATTTTTTTAAACAAAATTATTTCAAATACCAAGATTAACTTTTTTTATAGACAATTTGAAAATTAATACACTGGGAATAATATTGACACATTCAGAAAAAATAAATTTTAATGGATAATTTTTTTTTATTATTTATCAACTATAGTTTATTTCTAAAAAAAATTATACATTTCATAATTTTTTATTATTTACTCTTTTTTGTTTAGAAATTTTATTTGTTTAATAATTTTTTCATAAAAAATTTTCCTTTTATTGTTTTAATAATTTTCCATAATAATATTTTTAAAAAGTAAGTATAATAATAAATAATAATAGATATAATAACAATAATAAATAAATAAAAAATAATAAATATAATAGTAAACAATAACAGGGTTCCTACAGAATCTGGAAATCATGGAAATGGTATGGAATTTTTAAAAGGCTTCTGGAAATCAGGAAAATAATGGAAAAGGCCTGGAACTTTTAAAAGTTTCTAAATTTTTTCTGTTTTCTATTTTTTCTCTTGAATAGAAATTCAAATAATAACAAAGCTAAATGGCATAAAAGAGAAGAAAAAATATTGAATTTTAAGAAATTCGATTTTTCGGATTTTTGATAATTTTATATAATTTTAGATTTTTTACCAAAGAGTCGAGAATATTAAATAAGTAAAGTATTTTCCAAGAGCCCAAAAATAATGAAGCTAAATCCCATAAAAGAGAGGAAAAAATGTTGAATTTTAAGAAATTTGGTTTTTTGATAATTTTAGATTTTTTACCAAAGAGTCGAGTCTATTAAAAAAGTAAAGTATTTTCCAAAAGCAAAAAAATAATGAAGCTAAATCCCATAAAAGAGAAGAAAAAATGTTGAATTTTAAGAAATTTGGTTTTTCGGATTTTTGATAATTTTATATAATTTTAGATTTTTTACCAAAGAGTCGAGACTATTTAATAAGTAAAGTATTTTCCAAAAGCGCAAAAATAATGAAGCTAAATGCCATAAAAGAGAGGAAAAAATGTTGAATTTTAAGAAATTCGGATTTTTGAATTTTTGATAATTTTCGATAATTTTAGATTTTTTACCAAAGAGTCGAGACTATTAAATAAGTAAAGTTTTTTCCAAGAGCCCAAAAATAATGAAGCTAGGCTTCGAAGTGACACACTTTTCCACTTTTTTTGGTCAAGCCTACTTTTTGCTACTTATTTTGTCAAAAAGCTACTAAATGCTACTTTTTTCCAAAAAAAGGTAAAAAAAATTTACAGAATTCAAGAATTTTAGTTTTTTTGGTGAATTTCGTAGATTTCAAAAAACCCGCCAAGTGAATTAAATTTATTATTGGACGCGTGATTATAATATATTATAATAATTACTAATAGTGGATGTTTATTAAATTACAACTTTTTAACGTTTCGAATTTTTCGTATCTAATTTTATTATTCTTTAAGCTTCTTAAAAAAATTAAAAACTAAATTTTTCACTATATAATTTAATAGTAATACCTTTTTTGACTTTATAAAAGTTCCATCAAGTATAGAAAAAATCAATTAAGAATGAAAACTTAATTCTTTTGGTTATATAAATTGTTTGATTAAAAATCCAAAATAATATTTGTTTAACGTGATTATTTATTATATTATGTTTACAAACTTTATGTCAAATTTAAAAATATTAATTGTATTTTCAATAATACAGTGTTTTAAGTCGGTTGTTCAATAATAAAAATATCATTTATAAAGATTTAAGATCTATCTAGAAAAATAATTATAATTTTTTTTATTGGAATTAAATTGCTCATAATTTATTATTGTACAAAATTATGGCTATGTGGATTCTAAAATTAAAAAAATTTATATGACTAAAAACAATCCATTTTTTCCATTTTGATAGTTGTTATTAGTAAATTACTAAAAAATGTTTACGTTTCATTTTTAAAAATTAGATGGCTGATAAAAAGTTATTGATAGTTTTTTAAAAAATAATAAGGAGAAAGAAGGTGTCAATTTAACTTCTCAAAATTATGAGCCTGTTATTAAAAAACAAATTCTTATGAAAGATCTCATTTAAGTATTATTAACAATTACATTTCATTATGTAAATAAAACTTTCGAATGTAAAATATCGACAAAAAAGCTATTATATTTTCATGTTTTATGTTTATTTTTGAATTTTTGATAATTTTCGATAATTTTAGATTTTTTACCAAAGATTCGAGACTATTAAATAAGTAAAGTATTTTCCAAGAGCCCAAAAATAATGAACCTAATGCCATAAAAGAGGAGAAAAAATGTTGAATTTTTTAGAAATTCGGATTTTTGAAA